GAATGCTTTGCTTATCATATTGTAGCAGCACTCCTCCTGAGATATAACCTGAGAAGTTCATTTTCAATATAGTCTCATGGTCAGAGTTGAATTGAAGCAGGATTGGAGTGAAGGTAAACATTGATTTTAGACACTTAAAAGCTTTCTCAGCCTTGCTCATTCACAAAAAAGGAATATTCTTGCATGTAAAAATCATCAGTGAGGTCATGATCTTTGAGAAATCTCTGATAAATTGTTTATAGAAATTGGCAAAGCCTAAAAATCCTCATACACCTTTAAGAGTAGTAGGTATCACTCATTTCAAAACAACTTTAACCTTCTTCAGATTTATTTGTATACCCTTGCTCACTTCAATGATAAATTCAAGATATTTTGTGCTGTTCATCTCAAACTCACTCTTTCTAATATCTGCCTACAGGCCTACTTCTCATAGACACATAAGCATCTTTTGTACATGCTTGCAATGCTCCTGTAAGCTTCTTGAGGAAAATATCAAGATGTCATCTAAATAGACTGAGCAGAAGTCATTCAGATATCCATATAATGCCCAGTTGATATATTTTTGAAATGTGCTCAGAGCATTGGCTAAACCAAAAGGTGTAATCAGCCACTCAAATAGTCTGTATCTGATTTTAAAAGCTGTCATCCACTCATCATCTTCTGTGATTTGAATCTTGTGAAAAGCTGCAATAATATTTAGCTTAGTGAATCATTGAGCCTGTTCAATTCACTATAAAGTCTCACTGATTAATGATAGAGAATATCAATTCTTTCAGATCATTTTGTTAAGAGCTCAATAGTCCACATGGAATCTTAGTCCACCCTCAGACTTCTTTGCAAATAGTACAGGAGTAGCCACAGAGGAGTTGCTCATTCTAATAAAATTTTTATCTAGATAATCTGTAAGAGTCTTTCACAAAGCCAGTAGTTTCTCTCAAGATATATTATATAATGAGCCTCAAGAGGGTTGTTCTATGCTACCATCAGCCTTTTTAATCAGTTCAATCTCATGATCTCTACTTGGGTCATGAAGTGGGGATAGAGCATCAGTGGCTTCCTTATCAAATATATCTAAAAACTCATGATAATATTCAGACAGCTTTTCTCTAGAGTCAATCTTTGATTTCACTTCTAGAGCCTTTTGAATGTTGGTCAAACTGACAGTGAAGATCTTGATATTTTACTTCTCTCAAGTGCTTGCAAGCCTAAAGAAGCTTACAGCAGAGATGGGAATTACATCAGCTTTTGCATTTGAACTAGACTCTACCTTTATGCCACTCTCTTCAAATCTCTCAATTCTTTGATGAGGGATCACGGTTGTCTTTTGCTGGGCCAGCCAGAGGTCACTTAGATACATATCATGACTATATAACCTATTCACCATGTAGAGAAAAGCTCATTCAGTTATGTGACTGTTTATATCAATTTGAATACCAGTCACTATGCTTGTGGAGAGTCTCATGAAGTCTTCAAAGCTAGTCATTTTAACAGAGGGAATTTCAATGCATGGGAGCTTATGCTTGTTAACATAGAATTGAGAAATAAAACCATAGACATTACATCTACTGTCTATCATTGCTCTAGTTGAAAAGGCATTATCTACTAGAGCATTGACAGTGAAGGGTTTAAATATCATCTTAGATTTAAATCTTCTTCATTGCTTTCTCATAAGCTTCTTATTTCACTTCTTTTAGTATCTTTTGGTTGGAGCTACTCTTTTCTCAAATCCTTGCTCATATCCACATCATTGTTGTCCAGTACCAGCTTGAGGATCACCTTAGCTATTGTGGGAGTGACAGAGCATCTGAGAGATTTAAACAGATAGCTATTAATCATATGACCTCTGGCTCTGCATCTCAGACACAGGCCTTGCTCTCTTCATTGATTAACCTCTGTCTGATTTATCAATTTGGTGTGGTGAGCACTTGGAATCACAGCACCAGAAGAGAGATCCATCAGATTATCAGCAGAAGCTTGAGACTGATTTTATCAGTCAAGAACAGCATGACAAAGTAGAAAGTGTGAATTAGATGTCATATGATCTGAAGAAGATCTGCTCTCATGACATTTAGACCACTGTCTTAAAGTCTTAAGCTCAGAGAGTTGATAATCAACTAATCTAAGCTCCTTGCAGTAATTCTTATAGAGAGACAGTTCTCTTACACCCACCATGCCTTCCCTCAGCTCCATGCTTAGAGCAGATTTCAAATACCTCTTTTTAATATAATCATCCCATCCATGACTATCAGCTTCCAGCAGTAGCTGATTAAATTCAGGCAGAAAGTCAAATAGAGCTCTTCTACCCTGTCATAAATTGTTGAGCTTTTGCATAGCCTTTTTCTATCATGCAGGATCACTAAAGAGTATATGTGTCTGCTTCAGTAAGCTCTCTATCATGAAGTTGATCTTGTTCTTATTATTCTCAACTCAAAAGTAAACTTGAGCTGCTGCCATTCCTTCCAGTCTTAAGTACACATACCAAGCACATTTCTCATTATTATCTAAAGCTTTCCCATCAATCTTAAGTTTTGATTGAAGCTTTAGCTCTCATTGAGGGTAGTGCTTCAGATTAGAACCATCATACTTCTCACAGTTCAGTAGCTTGATCTTTGATCTTCTGACTGCAATGAGTGGTTGCAGATTTGATTGAGAGAGGGTTAATGTCAGAATGTTCAAAGCTTGTTGTAGATTAGCTATTTCAGCTTGCTGAGCTGCTATTAAATTCCTGTTCTCACACTGGACCTGTTCCTGCTGTTGAAGAAAGGCCATTCATTGTTGTTCAACACTGCTGAGAGCATCCCTGCTCATTGCTTCATGTTGATTCATTTGTGTATTTGTTGTACAAGTCTGTCACTTTATCTCATTCAGCTAGACATTTTCAATGTTGCTTGTTCATTTGTTAGCACAATTGCTAACTCAGTCTATTCATATATCAGTGCTATCACTGAACTTCATGATGCAGAATTTAAGGCTCTCAATAGTCTATCATATGTCAGTATGTTTGCTGAACTTCATGATACAGGATTAAGACTCTCAGTAGCCTATCAATGAAAGAAGTGAAGTAATTCATAATGTAAAGGATTAAGCTCTAAGAACTAGAGGCTAGTCCTCCTATATAACAAGGATGAATTGCTTGAGAAAGGGAAGAAAAAAATGAGATAAGAACTCAAGCTTAAGCAAGCTCACATAGCATGATCACGTGCGCATGTGCAAACAATTGCTAGGCTGAGTCAGTCAGCCAGAGCAAATCTAAGGGTTCAACCCCTTATAATTATCACATTTACATATTATTTATGTATAAAGTAATTATAGAGTTGATTACTATGCTAATGTCTAAGCAGTTATAATTATCATATTTAAATAGTTATAATTATCAATTGCCTCAGCTTATGATCTTATACTATTGAAAAAGCTGAACAGAGTCTGTTTTATATTATCACTAATTATCATTTACTTCATCTACTAGATAATTATTCTTTTTTCAAGTTTTTAGTTACTTATTTTATTACTTTAAAAATTCTACTTTTATTAAATTTATATTATAAATTTTTTAAATCAAATATAATAATTTCTTTAAATTTTATACTATATATTAAATTATTATTAAATTTTAGTTACTTAATCTGATATTAAAGCTTTTTATAAAAGATATAATTTACTAGAATATTTTTAATTTTTTATTTATTTTTATTTTATATTTTAATAGATTTTAATATTTTATTTAATTATTTTAACTGAGAATTATTTATAACTTTTTATAACTTATTAGAGAAAAATATTAAGTAAATCTTCATAGTATTTAATAGTATTAGTTTGTAGCTATTAATCTTTTCAATAATTTTAAAAAGATCTTTATTTTACTATATAAACTTTTTATTAAGATATTAAATTTTATAATTCTTAAATAATAAAAAAATTTTATCTTTTATCTTAAAATAGACTTATAATAATATTTATTGACTTGTAATTTCATAATTTTTTGCATCTTTTTTATATTATCAATTGTCAACTTTTAGATTTTTTTCTTTAAATGATATACTGCTGAGTATTTTCTCGTTTAAGCTTTTTTTCTCTAAGTAGCATTCTCAGTAATAACTTTTAATCAAAGAATATTTAAAATTCATATCTATAAACAGTTAGAAAAAGTATTATTTCAGTTGATTTATTTATCAAAGCTCTAATCATATAGTTCATCATTGATAATTATTTATTTTAATTGTTCTGATAGTAGTTTTTATATATATAAAATTTGCTTACCAGGTATTAATTGATAATTTCAATCTGATCATCTATTTGCAAGTAATGAGCTAATGAAAACTTCAGTTTAATTCTCAATTGTCTGATAAACTCATTTCAGAAGTCTGAGATGAATTGTGATTCATAATCTGACACAATTGAATTTGATGCTCTGTAATATCTATAGTAATACTCTAAGAATAATCTTGTTAGTTCTTTAACATTAGTTTTTCTTATGATGAGAATAGATATAAGCTTCTTGCTTAGTCAACAGACAATCATCAATATTGCATCATGATCTCTTTTTGTCATAGAATCATTCATGAAGTTCATTGAGATATGCTGTCAGACTCTGCTAGAAATTGATAGCAGTCTCAGAAGCTCTGATCGACTTTGCTTGTATAAGAAGCAGCAGGATCAGGGTGATCAGAGTTTAATTCAATAACTTATTTACTATGAGAATAAGTTTAGGAGCACGGAAACATGAAAATCAACAGCAGCAGGATATTCGGGTGTACTTTAAACGCTTAATCTCTATATAGCGAATTCCTCTATATAACGAATTGAATAGCCTGTCAGAGAATAACTGCCTAGTGAACACCCTACCTGCCAAAGATATCCGGAGACAAACCATAAAGTTTAAAATGTAGAATCCTCTATGCGTTGTCATCAGACTCAGTTATGCAGATATAAGTTCCATTTGGATATTCACTTTACCACTGCCACCACGTTGCAAACACTATTAGGAAACCTGACACAACAGGTCAACCCTCTTGGATCGAATTTGCATATGACAGTGGTTCACGCCATCCCATGGCATATGTGCCTAGTGCACTCGGGGAAACAACCTTGTCAGTTGCCAAAATGCATTGATGGTGCCACGCCTTTGCGGCCTGAGTCACATTTCGTCAGCAAGATAAATGAACCGGCGACGGGAGAGATACATTTCCTGAAGTCTATCCGGGAAGTCCACCATGGGAGATTAGATGGAAATAATTGGGGATGAACGGGGAGTGAGATCGCCTTTTCCAACCCATCATCTGAAAGCTTGTCCTTTTTTAATTTTATATATATGCAAAATATCGCCAACATTTTTTGTTTCAATAAGTACGTATCATTACCAGAGTGAGGCTGCATCAGTTTCCTCGTATGCACATGTACATATACATGCTACCCGAAAGCCAGCAAGATGCTCTCTCCTTTTCTCTAGTGGAAATCAGGCTTCCAGATTAACTGGTGTCCTAAGGCATAAGAGTATGAAAGTTCGTACTAACTTGTATCGAGAAGTTCAAGCGACAGATGCCCAACATAGCAAAGCAAGATCGATCCAAATTTTTTGCTCTTGAACCACCTTCCTGCATCATTCAATTATCGCGCAAGGCGGTCTACCTACGCGAGAAGACCAAACGGAGGAGGGAACCAGGCGGGAGCGGTCAGGCTTTACGCATCCATAGGTGGCCATACTGCCGACCGTGATTGGACTGTTGAAGACGGAGTTAAGGGGAAAACTGCAAGGCTTATTGCATCCTATACCCCAAGGAAGCGAATTCTGGCAAACCGACGGAATATTTTATTTTGTGCTGCTGAACATCTCCGTCCTTGGTGTTTTTGCTGAGTTGGCCTGGGGCCTGATATGCCCCAATGGTGGCGAACGGTTGGACGCCATTGGATCGGCTCACTCAGGTAATAGGTAGTCGAGGTCCTTGAGAATTGAAAAGTTTCTCACAAAATCCGAATGTTATATATCGTGGAGAAGGTCTTATCCCCACAATTTTCATGGTTTTGATGCCAAAAAAGACCTAAAGGTGCTTATGCAACCTCTTCTGTCCTGGGGCTATCCATTCGCAGGATCCATTGGATTCCTTTGATGTTGCTTATCGTGTGTGTGTGTGTGTGTGTGTGTGTTTTTATTTAACACCCGGTTAGTCCACGTGCCTTATGGGCACATGATCTAGTAGAGTCCGCGTTGAACTATAGGGTGGGTAGAGCTGTGCCTGTAGGCAACTACCTATCTAGTAGCTATCTTACAAATGAGGCAAAAGGGTTGTGTATTGCTGCACTGGCAGAGCCCATGAGTCAGTTGCCATAGAGCAGAGGTTTTGAGAGGTTTTAGGTTTGTGGGAGAGAGGTAGGGAAAGTGGATAAAGAGAAAGACAAGAAAGGAAAGAAAGAGGAGAAAAGAGAGGAAGAAGGAGAAGATGATGAGGAGGACAGAAGCAAGACAGAGAAGGAGATGATCTGTGAGATCTGATCTGAAGATGCACAACAGCACATTGAACAGATATTCTGATAGAAGACTGTTTCTCTTAGCCAGTTATTGAATTCTAGAGTCTCATGTGAGATTGTCAGTGTCTCATGAAGATTGTAGATAGATCAGCATCACTTTGCTGCTTTTCTTGCAAGAGTGCAATAGTAGAAATATTTAGAAGTTTTGCTATGACTGCACTGGCAGTAGCACTCTGCATCTTCATGCTTAAGATAACTGTGATAGACTGCAAAGTCTCTATGATCTGATCAGACAGCATAGAGCTTTTCTAATGTGAAGTGTGAAAGTTTTATCTCTGTTGAGACTCTCTTTAGTGAGATCTCCAGCTTCATATAGTGTTTGAACTGATTTTTGACCCAGTAGTTCTCAAAGGCCTGTGTGATTTGTTTCATAGTGTGCTACTTTATATAAGCTAGAGTGCCTATACTGTCAGATTGAGATATCATGCTTGCACTTGCTGCCTGCACTGTGACTGCTTTGACTTCAAGATCTATCTTTTCATTATCAGTCACATCTGTGTGGTCTGAGACTCATCTAATGATCACTCTGCTCTGAGTGATCAATGAGAGTCTATTTCTGCTCTGTCAAGCCTTTATGACTTTCAGAAACTGTGCAAAGATCTGCTGACTAGAGATGTTTGACACAGATTCAAGAACTCATACTATCTTCAAATTTATCTAGACAAATGTAGACATTGCTGGCAAACTTCATCTGAGAAGAGATGATGACTTTCTTTAGACCCTGCAGAGCTGTCATTGTCTCTGTGTCAAAGACCTCTGCTTTATTCATTAACAGATTTTCTGTGAAGATTAGATGATGTTCACTATCTCAGCATATAGTTCATTCTGCATCAATTACACACTGAGAACACTTTATCTGTGAATTATTGATAAAGATCATCAGATTCAGAGAATTATGTTATTGTAGTTAGCTCTTAAAGTCTTGTGCTGCCTGTTTCTTTGTGTGATCTATCTCATACTCAATCTGCAGATCTTCTTTTCTGAAAAATCTTATTCAAGAAGATGTGAGTAGAGGATCATGTGCTTCTATCTCATCAGCATGACTGAATGCTCTAGACAGACATGTGATATAGGACTTGGTGGTAGCTATTTTATTAGAGTGCCTCACTAGCAGATGTCTCTTGTCAAACTTTTTGATTCTTACTGCAAATACAGCATGCTGGTTGTCTAGTGTCTCTTTCATTGACATGATTTCTAGCTCACAGTGTAGAGCTGAAATGAATGTGATTTTGTAGACTGACAGTGTCTCTCACAAAGCATCTCTAAGAACTAGATCTAGCTTTCTGACTAGACAATTCATTCAATTGAAGATTTTCTTTTCCTTCTTCATTCATGTGGCTTTAGGTCATCAGGCCTCTGCTTCATAGCAGAGCACAGAGAGCACACAGATCTGAATGAATTGTCTAAGCAGTTGTACTAAGACACCTCTTGCTGTGTTGCTTAGTGCCTGTATGTCATTAGACATCTGTCATATCTTAGCTGCTATGATCTTCATATGTTTCTTGAAGCTCAGTTTTCTATCTAGCTAGATTTCTAGATATCTTATGAAGCTTTTCACTGCATTTGCTGTAATAGAGTGAGTGTCAGATGTTATTTCAAGATCAATTAAGGGATTTGAAAGGATTCTGCACTGTGTAAAGTGTACTATCTCAGTTTTGACAAAATCAAATGTTAGCTCTTCTTTGCTGGCTCAATTATTTAGCATCTTGAAATTCTCCTGAAGAGTAACAACATTCTCTTCAAGAGTGATTCCAGCACTAAGCAGTCCTAGATCATCTGCATAGTCTGAGCATGCATGTCTTTTTTGTATAGTTTCTAGAAAGAACAGAGGCTGAATATACAGCATGAATAGAATAGATGAGACTGGTGAGCCTTGTAAAAGCTCTGCTGGGATATCAAAAAGCTCTCTCAGAAGTTCATTCAATCTGATTCTGCCTGTGTGTTCTGTCATGAAGCTTTTCATCCATCTAATTAAATTTGATGATCAGTCTTATTCTTGCAATCTCTGCAGCATTATTTCTCTGAGTACAGCATCAAAAGCACTTTTGATGTTCAGAGTAAGAAGAGAGACTACTTTTCATAGGCTCAGACTTCCTCTATATCATGAATCATCACTGCCACTAGGTCTGAGGCAGCCTGCTCAGGGAGGACTTCAAAATGCTGAAGGTGGACAATCTTCTCTTGTATAGCTGTTCAGATCAGTCAATGAGCTATCAGATGTTTCAGTCCCTTCCTCAACATTGAGAGAAAGACTATAAATCTGTAGGATCACAGAAGTGTTGAATCTCTGTTGATCTTAGACAGCACAACCAGTGTGGCATCTCAAAAGAAGGTTGAGTGTCAGCCAACTCTAAGACAGACTCTGAACAGCCTTTCCACTGATACCTTAATATGTGATCATGCCTTTCATAGCACCTCTGTTGGCACTCCATCAGTTTCTGAAGTGATATTACTCATGTTCAGCAGAGAACTTTGTATCTCATGTGCTGAGACAACAGAAAATGATAATTTGACAGATGATGAGTTGAATTAGCTAACTGAGATATTCTCTCTGCTTGCAGTCTTCTGTAAGAGCATCTGTTGCAGAAGATCTCATTTCTCTCTAGAGATTGTCTATGTTAGCCCAGTCTCTTCATCTACAAGAGAGGGGGAATGAAAGAAGCCAGTTGAATGAACTCATTTAATCATCTTAAAGATATCTTTTCTCACTGAGGTCTCTGCTATCTTGTCTCATCAGTATTCTCTCTTGACTTTTCTGGTGATCCTGGCTATGTTGCTTTTTACTTCTTGTAAAAAACTAGAGTCTAGACACTGTGTCTGATGTAGTGTTGTCACTGCTTTCTGACAGTTCTCATTTCATCATAACTGACCTATGTCTTGCCTAGTACTCTTCTTGATGAAACTTTCCAGAGAAGCTATTAGTGCATCTGTGATATTTTTAGTCAGGGCATCCAGCTGATCTGTATTGAGATACTCTGAAATATCACATAGTTTGTCTAGTTTTGACTTAGAGACTTTTAGTGTCTGATTAAAAACCTTCTCATCTATGGTGTCAAGACAGAAAAAAATAGAGTGATCTGTCAGGTCTTGCACTTTGTGAAAGACTGATTTTGATGAGAAGAGTCTAGTGATCAGAGAAGATATAAAGAAATCTGTCCATCTGTGTGTTCACTTCTTTGATAACTAATTTTAGAGTGGCCCAGGCCAGGTCTATCATGTTATGCCTACATGTGGGGGTGTCTGAGTTCATGATGAGAGTAAAATTGAAATTCATAATTCATTGCAGGAATGATTCCACTCACATGCTTGGAGGCACTTCTGGTTGTCACATGAAGTGCTTGATATTGAGGTTGCCAGTGAGGAGTAACAGAAGTGCTGGGACAGATCAGAAGAGAAGATAGCTCACATCTTGTTCAGAATCCTCTGTGTCTGAAGATGCATTGTATATGTTGACTGTCTGAAGCTGTAGATCTCAGGTCTGTATGTGCAGCATATGAATGTTCTGATTTTCTGCTCAGGGGCCTGAGACTGCATGAGCATGGATTTGTGAGTGTTTACACACATAGATGAGGACTCATGACTTTCTGTCTCACTTTTCAATTGAGACAAAGCAGTTAAATGCTAAATGCTTTTTGAAGATGTGTTGGCTTAAGTTTCTGTGAATTCAGAGTTCCTGTATGAGAAGAATGTCAGTCTTTCTTTCAAACACTAGATTGAGAACTGTCTTGTATGCTGGACTCTCTTTTTCTACATTGACTTGCATAATCTACAGAAATTGTAGAGACCTAGAGTTCTTCTTCATTGAGTAGCTGAAAGAAGAGTGTTGTTATGTGAGATGACATGTTAAGTGTTGCATTAGATGTTGAGTTGGACACTATGCTTAATACTGTGTCTGATGCTGTGCTCAATGCTGTGCTTGATGCTGTGTTTGATATCAGTGTGAGATTAGATCTACACTCAGTAGAATCATTCAATCTCAGGTCTGCTGATGAATCTCAATCATCACATTTGCTGTTACTTGTTTTGATCAAGTATGTCTTACTCTGTGCATTGTGAATATCTCTCAGCTGATTTTTTGAGTATCTTTAAATAGTCTCATTCTTTATCTCTGATCTGATGAAGCAGGATGAATCATTCACAGCATGTGATTCAAGACAGTTAGTGCAGCAATTGAGGCATCCACATGCTTCATTCTTCTTATGACAAAATGAATTTTCTTTCATATGATTCTTAGAACTGCATTTTTTGCAGTGAGAGACATGAAGATAATATCTCTCTTGATGAAATTCTCAGCATTTGCTGCATTATTGTATTTTGATCTTAGATGTCTTTCTGATCACTGATCTTTGATATTTATATAGTTTCATTTTTGATGACAGATTTACTGCTGTCTCTTGTGAAAAGTGTAATATAAAAGTGACTGTTGAGTTTTCAGAGTGTATTTTTACTCAGTGACTCTGAACAGACTTGATTTTAATTTGAAGTATAAATTCTTCTGTCATGAATTCTGCTGAGAGATGCAGAGTTTCATCATCATAGTTACTAATCTTTATAAGCAGCTCAGAAATCAGACAGAATGATTCAATATTCTTTCTTCTCTATCTGAGAATTGATGAGAGTGGCTGCTAAAACATTCTTTTTGACTAGCAGAGTCTTTATGTCTTGCAAGCTTCTAGAAATGATGACAATGCCTGTGGAGATGACTTGAACTGCTGTGATGACTGCTGTCAAAGACTTTGAAAGTTCAGTCTTCAGCTTTCTAAGAGTAGCAATTGAACTTGCTTTGTGAGCTAGATGATCTGAAGACAGATGTGTGAGAATTTATGATATTTTTTCTTCTTTGAGATTATTTCTAAGCAGGGATTTCTGCAGTATGATTGCTGATATTTTTGTTACATTGGTGCTGTCTGCAGCTGTCTTTGCATAGGTAGAAGCTTTTGCATCATTTGCATCAGTGGAGTTAGCAGGCTTGATTGTGATAGACTGCTTAGCTGTTTCTAGACTTTCATTATATCAGTTCTTGACTAGTGTCTTCATAGTAACTTCAAGAGCTAGTGCTCTTGATAGATCTTTTGCCTTCATGACATCTAAGTCTTCTTCAATCTGATCAAGTATATTTGCAGCAGCTAGTGCTTCTGCATGAGATTTCTGTGCCTCAGTCTCATGGGTGACTAGAAGATCACTAGCCATCAGGTCATGTAGGTTGAAATGTATTGATGTGACATTTCTGCTCTTTGAGCTGCCTGCTGGTGTAGAGGAGCTTGAAGACTTCATATCATTCAGTTTATATGTGCAGCAGGTGATTGAGGTGAGGAGATGAGATCTCTTAGATGAACAGTGTATGAGGGAGCAGATATATGTCAAGGCTCAGAATGTGTTCAGTGTTATTGAGAGACTGGGCATGCTGGCAGTGCTGTGTCAACACACCATCAGACTTGCTGCCTAAGGGGATGGGAGAGAGGTTATAGAGATGTGATCAAAGATGTTTTTTGATCTTGTTATTCCGCTGATTCTTGTGTTGCTTATCATGTGTGTGTGTGTGTGTGTGTTTTTATTTAATGCCTGGTTAGTACACATGTCTTATAAGCATGTGATCTAGTAGAGTCTGTGTCAAACTATAGGATGGGTAGAGCTGCATCTGTAGATGACTATCTATCTAGTAGCTATCTTACAAATGAGGCACAAGGGTTGCATATTGCTGCACTGGCAGAGCCCATGAGTTGATTGCCATAGAGCAGAGGTTTTGAGAGGTTTTAGATTTGTGAGAGAGAGATAAGAGAGGTGAATAGGAAGAAAGACAAGAAAGAAAAGAAAGAAGAGAAAAGAGAGAAAGAAGAAGAAGATGATGAGAAAGATGAGAACAAGACAGAGAAGAGAATGATCTGTGAGATCTGATCTGAAGATGTGTGACAGCACATTGAACAGATATTCTGATAGAAGACTGTTTCTCTTAGTCAGTTATTGAATTCTAGAGTCTCACACAAGGTTGTCAGTATCTCATGGAGATTGTAGATAGACCAGCACTGCTTTGCTGCTTTTCTTGCAAGAGTGTAATAGTAGAAATATTCTGAGGTTTTGCTATGTCCTCACCAGCAGTAGCACTTTGCATCTTCATGCTTAAGATGACTGTGATAGACTGCAAAGTCTTCATGATCTGATCAGACAGCATAGAGCTTTTCTAATATGAAG